AGGAATTTGGTTTTTTCCCTTTTTTTTTTTTTTTTTTTTTTTTGGCCTTCCCTATTTATACAGTGAAACTCACTTGAGATTACACTGGTACCCCTTTAGGCTTTTTATGAACACGAACAAGAACTAAAATCCTAATTTTCTTATATTTCTTGATTTACAATCTTCCGATGAACCAAATCATTAACTAGTTTTGAAAGGCTTGTAAACTTTGAGATCAGAAGCAACGCCGGCGAAGGAACCGACAGCAGCTGCTATGGAGATAATAAGACAAGTAACACTTAGTATTTGTAGGCATATCCATTTTGTGCTCCATTTCTCTATCTTCTTCTGCACAATGTACATTTCCACAGGGAAGTATACTGTTAAAGGCCAAAACCCAAAGGCGCCTAGAATTCCCACAACGTCGTTGAAAAATGGCATCAGCATGGAAATTAGTGTGGTTACGATCACGAAAATTGTCCTCCATACTAGTCGAAAAAGGTTGAGTTTATAAGGACTGTATCCCGGGATAGGGATATCAATTTCCTTGGTGATGAATGTGTTGTGTGGGAACCATTCTTTTGATGTTTTTTCGACAAAGGCAAAAAGTGGTTGGCAGTAAACCTGGTACGCGCCGATAAGGTGGATTACTATGGCAGCGTTGGCCATATCGAGTAGCCAGTAGGGATTGTAGAAGCCGAAACCAGTGAGGAGATTTCCAGGGGAGAGATCACCAAATGCGGCATAGCCAAAACAGCCACAGAACATGTAGAAAAGAGTTGTTACTGCTATACTAAATAGAGTGGCCTTTTTCATTGTCTTGTATTCTGATGGTGGGGACTTTATTGTATCCTGATATATATGATAGAATCAAATCAAGATCAGTCGATATAGGACGTAACTGCAGATGCAGTTTTAATTGATAAAAGGTGAAAAAAGGGATAAAAACTGTACCTGAATTTCAATTAGGATAAAGGAGTAAGAATAGGCAAAAGCTATGGCTCCAAGTGCTTGAAAACTTCCCCATATCTTGTCCATTTCAGTCACTGTGCCCATTTCAGTCACTGTGCCCACGCTTATTCCAGTTAGACTTCCCCTTATTTTCCCGGTTTCTACAACAAAACAAAGAATCAGGTTTAAAGCAGTTGAAAATCGAGACTGTTATGGAACAACAAACAAGGAATTAAACTAGTTTGACAGAAGAAGGGTGACATGCGGTTTGACATCCTCTCACATGGTGCTGGAACTCGCGTGAATAAAAAGTTCCAAAAAAAGGTGGCCCCCACCCCTATTGTGAGTGTTGGAGTCTGTCATCCCCATTCTGTCAACGTAGCATAGTTGACAAACAAGGTTTTAACTTTTTTTTTCCTCTGCTAATTCTGTCTATTAAGCTCGGGATTCTTTTCTTACCTGCAACTTTTGCAATTCCAAGGCCTAAACCGATGGTGGAGTAAGTAAAGGACATAATTGCAGCAACAATTGAAAGCCACCATGTTTGATCAAAGTCCGGGATTTGGGAGAAAAGAATTTCCACAACACCAAATGCAATCATATAAGGATTGCTTGAAACTCTGCAAGGACTTTGATCTCCTTTTGAATGGAAACAATTAGACCTTTCGATAGCCCTGTTAAGAAAAAAATAAAAGTTAAAAAAAAATCTTTTTTATTAAACTATTCACAAAAAGACGTACTCTTTTCACTTTGGAATTCATACTTACATCATACTTATAGACGAGGCAATCGTGTAACCAATAGCTACTCCAAAGAGATTCAGATACTGAATTGCTCCACAAACTTTAACCTGGAACCCTCCTGAAATTCCAAAAACAAACAAGTGTCACATTAAAGTTTTCGTAATAACAACAGCAATAAGCTTAAGTCTTATTTGTGATAAAATTATGGTAGGCTATATGAACAGTTCACTTGTAAAAAGTTTACCGAGATTGGCTCGGACGGCATCCATATACGTGTAATTTCTTTCCCCGGTATCGGGATTCCCAGACCGGTAACATGCTGCCAGAAAAACAGAAGTGTAGTATGTTACAAATGAGAATAAGAGCAACACGGTTGGACCAGCTATCCATCCAAGCTGTGCGGTAGCCCAAGCCAAGGACAGAACTCCAGAACCAATTACAGCAGTTATTATGTGAGCACTTGCAGTCCATACGGTTCCTATCAGAAAAATATGAAACAAGAAAATTCAGTTAAAAACAAGTATATTTTCTTTTATGCAGTCGAGGGCCTAGTACTAAGTACCATACATGCACTTAATATTTGTGTCTCAATGAAGAAAAATACCGGTTCGTAGGCGCTCATCATCGTTGAAACACTTGGAACCAATCTGAGGCGGCACATTGATGGAGACATCAAAGATTTGGATGTGGTTGTGGCCCTTGTTTGCACTCATCTTTGATTCAAACAAATTGAGAAAATGAAAAAATCAGATGACTTTTTTAATCTGACTTAGATGATATGATAAGCAGAAGGAAAATGTTAATACACTTCAGATTTATTGTAGAAGAACGTGCACTTGTGAGAAGCCATGGCAGGCTAAATATAAGAAGAGAAACATGTTAGAAAAGTCATGGAAGTAGGTAAGGTAAAATCACGATTAATGGCACGTTTTTTAAGCCACGTGTTGAAGACATAAAATAAGTTAAATCTTGTCTACTATCTTATACAGATGAACTGAACAGGCCATATACGTTTTGTCTAATGCCCCCGCCACCTTAAAGCATGTAGATCCTAGAGATATTGACTCCATTCAGAGGCGGAGTCAGTAATTTAGTTCAGTGTGGGCAAAAAAAATTCGACGTTGAATGTCGAAGTTTTGGTCATGGATTTAATAACGATAAAAAGTAAAACAATAGTACGACAATACTAGAAAGGCATAATTTATATATTACACTTGTTTCTTGTGACTGTCGGACGGATAGGGAAAGGGAACGGCGGGCAGTGATAACAGTGTCACCGGTGGAGAGGGAAGTGGGTGGCGTCGTGGCAATTGGCGAAGTGCGATTTCTTCACAGTCCACGGAAGTTCACGAAGGGTTGAAAATCTGAAATGAACGAATGAGGTTTGGGTCAACAATTGATTCAACTGAATTTTGAATTGAATGGGTCTAAAACGGATCATGAGCATTGCACAATTGAGCTTCTCTCTTTGGACTGGACAAGAAAATGGGTTATTGGGTTAAAAATAAAAAGAGGAAATTGCACCGTCCCCGATGTTTTAACTTTACAGTGCAAAAATCTGGTATGAAATTGTTATTCACAAATTCGGGATGACTATGATAATTAAATATCTCCCCCAATTCCAATTCCAACTCTAACAATTTCAATTCACCCTCTCTCTCTCTCTCCATCTTCATTACCTGGCACTAGTGCTTATATAGGTTATGAAATAGAAAGTGGCACCAGAACAATCATCCGACGGTGGCGCTAACCATGACCATTCGGCGACAACATCACCATTACTGTTGGCACTTTGAGATCGGCGTTGCTCGACGACTGATTTTGGAGATTTTTTTTGTGGGAATTTGAGGCGCTTTGAGATCAACATTTATGATAACCACTCTAACGAAACAAACATAGAAGTAACCAATAACAACTTTTTTTAAATATACTCTAATATGCTTATAAATAATTTCAAAATGCTAAAAGAAATACGACGAAAAAGAAAAGGATTCTAACTGTTACTGTTTTAGCCTTTCTCCTCCTATGATCAAAGTGAAAACTTCACTGAGAATGTGTAGAAAGGAAATCAGTAGAGCGCTGTGTTCCATTCTTTGGTCAATTCCTAGCAGGATTTATATCTACAAAATCGCGAATAAGTTAAATTTTCAATCAGTCTCTTTTAAGTAGCACTTCTATGGCTTCTGGTCCATCCTTTTATCAGAACAGAATATGGTTCCGTTATCAATACTTCATTCCCTAAATAATTATTAAGTATCAAGCCATTTTGGAACAAATAATAGGCAGTTAGAGAGGGACATTAGTATCCTATTCTAATTTCGGGTTCCCAAAGACTGAGGAATTCAAGGTTATCAAACAAAGATAATTACTTCTTTAGAGGGCATCTTTCAAAGTTTACTTGCACAGTCTTGTCTTAACATTCCTCTTTTACAAGTGCATGAGTATCTATGTTCTCGTGTTTCGTACAACAAAAATGAACAAAAAAATAAAAATATTTAAAAAAATCTTTTCGAGTTGCAATACGCTAATACATAGTCTCAAAAGTCTATATTTGAGCCGGTAGGAAGTGAGATTGCCAACATCTGAAGACAAAAGATTCGTAAATTAGAGAACAAAAGTAAAAGGAACGTGCTTGATCATCCATATATAAGGTCGACTACTTGAATTATTTTCCACAGCTCTATTCGATATGAGTTGATATATAGTCGAATCCCTTTTCTAAAAATAATGATTTTGGCTAAGAAAATCATTTTAGGGACGTGGGGGTGGCAAAGAGCAAACACTAAATTAATCCAATGATGTTAGTGAAGAAATTCTCTTTGTTTAAGATATACACTTGGCTATAACACAAAATTTTCACTTTAAATATTGATTGCACTTTGTTAAGGATCCAATCAACATTCACTACTATGATGCCACTTTATATAAATTTTCTATTTATGTTAATTAAAGATTTGAAGTCTCTTACAACCTCAATTCTTGGAAAGAATATTTACAGCCATCTTGCAAAAACTCAACATAATAAATACCATTGTTAGTGAGCATGTATGACTATCTCACTAAAACTTGATATTCTATAAGAAATTATTACAATTTAATGCATGATTCGCAAACAGTATTCATTTCTCTTTAACAAACAAACCTTTAGTGAATAACAACATTTTCTTGCTGAAAACTAACGAGGGCTGCCAACTTTATTATGTTTTCTTTGATCAACCTTATTTGATTTATTTATTCATGAAAATATTAATTTAATTATTAGCACAATCTCAATTTATCCAAAATTATTATACTTAAAAAAAAAAAAAAAAGCGTCTCCATGAAACTTGAAAATGTTTAATTTAATTTTAAAACTAAAATTACTGTTTAAAAAGAAATGCTTCTTCGTGAAATAACTTTTAGTATTGTGTGTATTCAAATTATTTCGAACTCAAACGAAAAATAATTTTATTTTATTTTATTTTATTTTTAAATATGTGTGATCGTTTGTGAGTGTTTTTTCCCACGTAAATTCGACGGTGAAGAAAAATATAATTAAGAAACAACAAAACAAAAAAAAAACTAGAATATAAAAAATTCAAAATCTTGAAAATAAGTCACTTTTGCAGATTTTTGTTTGTCATTATTATGAAAAT